GCACTGATAATATGTTTAAGTTGGAAGCTAAAAGAACAATCTAAAATGTTACAATTTTACAACATAATGTCCAACATAATGCTCTATAAATAAAATACAATAACCATCAGTAATCCCTCCTCGACGACGACTCCCACTGCACAAGGGTCTGTTCCAGACTATCAACAACAACTCTCCCTATTGCACTCATGCTGTCCTTCTCAAGAGAGAGTTTCTGTACGTCCTGCATTATCTTTCCCATCCACTGCATACAACAAAAAACAGAAGATGAAATACAATAACAACATATAAAACTTAATTAAAAGACAACGATAAATATAATAAAAGACATACCGCTTCCGTGGCAGTAGGCGGTGGCACATAATCATCATCGCTGTGGTCGAGATCTGCGATCAACCTCGGGTGCGAATACCGGTTGAACCATTCCATGTAGTAATGGTCACACATGGGAGTAACCCCAGAGGGCGGCCGCTGCAACTCCGCAGTCCATAAGCGGGCCACCATCGGAAACTGGTCCCACGTCCCGGTCATGATATCCGGCCATTCCATGACGTAGTCCCTCGACGATGCAGGTCGGACCGCCTTCATCGGGCATGCCGGGGGAGGAGGGACAACTTGGACAAATCCAAGCTGGTGAAGACAACGCTGGGGCATGTACGCCTCGACGATCTCACGATACTGAATGAGTCCCGTGTACAGGGTCCTGGGTACCCTAACACTAGGGTTTTGGCCGAAAGGCATCCAGTTCACCTGTACAATAACAACATATAAAATTTAATAACATGAATATAATATGTGCAAATAATAAAATGTAGACTCTATAAATAAACGTTACCTCTAAGGGGGACAGCCTGTCCAACAATAACCGTATCGATCGGAGGCGGTCAACGGACTTCTTCTCCGAGCGCGGACTCCACGCACAAGCACGCGGCATCCCCTCATCAATAGGAACTGGGTCACGATGTGGTCGCAATGCAGGAAAGTACTCGTATATCCAGGTCTGCAATAGAGTCAGACACCCAGTGATACCTGCCGCGTCAGCCCGACTCGCAAATCCTAGTTGGCGATACAAATACGCCAACGTAGCCGATCCCCAGGAAAATTGGCCTACACTGTTGGGGTCACACGCCTCTACTATGTCGCGTGGCCTGAGCTTGTTTCCGCCGCTCTTATCCGGAAACAAGGTACATCCGAGGAGTAGAAAAACATAAGCACTCAGCTGTGCGTCGGGCGTCCTACGTGCACTGGGGTACAAACACCGCTGCAACACGGATGCGATCTTCACACCTCCGTGTTCCCAAACACCTAGCGCCTCGGTGTACAGTGCAGCCCTGTCCACCGCCAACAACTCCGCCAGCGAATCTGCCTGATCCGCATCAGCCACAGCACAAAGTCGTTTACCCTGAACACGAATCCCCAGAATGGCCTCGACGTCATGTAACATGATCGTCATCTCACCGAACGGAAGGTGGAAAGAGTTTGTATCCGGCTGCCATCGCTCAATGAAAGCCGTGATCAGCGTACTGTCAATCTTATCGTGCATGGTGGCAGGAACGTGATTCACCCCAGTGCCCTGCAGTCGCTCGAACATCTCGCTCTCCACCGGCCAGGCCTCAGCCCATGTACGCAAAAAGCTACAAGTCTTTTCCCGGGTATGACATTTCAACAACCCCGTAACTGAAGGCCTCTCCTGGTCCTCCCAAATACGGGCAGCTATGTGTCCTAGAAAGCTAGGAATCACACTCCCGTCAACAGGCCCACCGGGCACCTCACTCCTAACAACCCAAGAATCATTACCGGCCCTCGATTGTTTCCTGCTTGCCCCAGATACAGTGGACGCAGATGATGTGCCAGATCTACTAACAAACCTACCACCCCTACCCTTACGCACCTCCACCATATGCGTCTCGTACATGTCATCAACCCTCTGACTGAATGGACCGTAATCATCATACGGTCCACTGCCATCGTCCACATCCTCATCCTCATCGGCGCCCTCCTCCTGCTCCTCCTCCTTGTCACCCTCCTCAGCATCATCATCGTCATCGTCATCCTCATCCCGACGGTGGATCCGTTCTCTACGAGCTGAGGCCGAAATACCACGGGATCTGACATGTCTATGCCCCGACCTCTCCACTGAATAACTTCTACTAAGAAGCTCTATATTCTTCCCCGCACCATGACGACCCAGTGAATTCTACACAAAATTTTAAAATATATAAACATACAAAAATTTATACGATAAATAATCATCATCGCAAATCAAATAAACTAAAAACATACAAATAATTGTAAACAAAATATAAACGTAGAAAAAATACAACGAAATTGAAAAAATTTATAAAAATAAACAACAAAATATAAAAACAATTCAAAAATATATTACACAAAAAAAAAAAAAAAAATTAAAAACAATTTTTTTTTTTTAAAAAAAAAAAAAGGGGGGGGGGGGCGCCTTGGCTGGACGCCCAGCCAGCGGTGGTGGCGCCAGCTGCAGACGCCGCCACCAGTTGGCTGGCGCCTGGGCTGGACGCCACAGCCACGGCTGCGGCGCCTTGAATAAACGCCACAACCGTGGCTATGGCGTCCAGCCCAGGCGCCAGCCAACTGGTGGCGGCGTCTGCAGCTGGCGCCACCACCGCTGGCTGGGCATCCAGCCAGGGCGCCCCACCGCCGTCACGGCGGTTTTCCCTTTTTTTTTTTTTTTTTAACAAAATGTACCTTTCCTCCTTGGTACATCCTTCCCTCCGCCGCCGCCGCCAATTCCTTGCCTTGCCGCCTCGACATTGCCGTTATTTGAATTTTTTTTTAGAGAGGTTGAAAGAAGATGAGCAATGAGAGTGTGAGTGTTTTTTTTAAGGACAAGGGCAATTTTGGCAAACCAAGTGAATTTTGTGGGCTTTATGTAGTAATTTGTGGGCGATGTTTAACAAATCCCCATCATTATTCCTAGACAACCACCGATACGAGAGATTGAGAAGGCTCTCTCTACGGAGCTCGGGAACCCTGTAATACATGAGTGCAGGTAGGTGCATAGGGCCTATGTGTTTCATAAGCACATATGAGGGCATTTTGAAATTTTTATTATTTTTTTTCTCCCCCTTAATGGTACAGTGGTATATTTAATGTGCCATTATACATATAGACATATAGTGGTACTTTTTGCCATTAAATTTTGCATCACCTCTTTTTCTCATGTTCCCATTATTTACAAAAAATGTCATCCTATTTGTTTCATTGGCACATAGGCCATTAGGCCCCATGCTACTACTAATACATTGCTAGGCTCTATTTATTTTTAAAAAATAATAATAATTCATTTATAAATAAAAAAAAGTCATATAACATTTATATAGAGATTTATATTCGACTCTATTTAATTCAACGAAATTTTTCTGATATTATTTTTATTCGAACATAATTTATTTTCATTTTAAACTCGTTTTATTTTATATAAATTTATATTATTTTGCATGACCTTGTATAAAATTATTATATTTTATTTGAACTTATTTTTTTATAACTAGTAAAATTTTGTTTAAATTTTTAAACTTAATTATACTATTCTATGAACTTATTTTTTTTGTCCAAACTTATTATTTATTAAAATAAGATAAATATGAAACAAACATACCCTTCTTCAAAAAAAAAAAAAAAAAAAAAAAAAAAAAAAAAAAAAAAAAAAAACTTCACCTTTGACTTATTACTTTTTATAATTTTCCGTTTCAATTCGACCTTCCACCCGTTAAAAAACAAAAACATTACTTACTTGATTACTTCATATTCGATATGTGAACTTACACCATGTTTGATTAATGGTGTTTATAAACAATAATAATAAAAAGTGTTTATATGTAAACTAGAAAAGAAATTCCATGTTAATTCTTGATCTGATCACTCAAAATGACCCTTAAGTTGACTACTATTTTTTCTTCAAAATTTTAACTCCCAAATAATACAACCTCTCAACTTAAGTGGACCACATGCTTTGTAGAGAGATTGGTCTTCATGGAGATTATAAGTTGTTTTCCATACTAAATTACACTTAAATCCATTTACTTCACTATAGTTTATTATCGACTACCAAATAGCCAACTTACCAATGACATTTAGACCTTTTGTGGTCAAGAGGGAGTGTTTTTGACTTTTTATGCCATAGTTTATAAGTTTAAATCCATATTTTGTTGTAAAAAAATTTGACAATGTTAAGCATTAATTTAGGTTGTATTATCCAGTATAATTTTGAATTACTACTCATACGAATATATAAGAGCAACTCCAAGATTAGATATTTTTATCTTCTATCTTGAATTGTCACATCATTTTCTCTAGCTACAATTTTCTCGGCTATGTTATGTTATACTCCGTAAAATTTGAGGATGGAATTATTCTAAAAAATGTAAAATAAATTGTTTAGAAAATCTTGTAAGGACTAAAGCAGTCTAAGGAAACGTCCTAATTTGGTGATTCATAATATCAAGTGGTATAACTTGGTGATTCAAAGTATCAAGTGGTATAATCTTGTGATTCATAGTATCAAGTGGTATAACTTGGTGATTCTAAGTATCAAGTGGTATAATTTTGTGATTCATAGTATCAAGTGGTTCAATGGTCTTCATATAATCAACTAGAAAGACAAATTAGGAAAAATCATAATTTGTTAATTCCTAGAATCAAATGGTTCAACTAATAACTTGTTGGTACAATCTTATGAGATAGATAATACACTATATACATTACGATCCTTCGTCAAAATAATACAAATTAATATTTTTTTAGGAAGTTTCTCCAAGAAAGTGGTGAGATATTATAAGAAAACTCATAATCAAATTGTGTTCTCCAACTTCCTCAGATCCAAAATTAATGTCTAAACCTTGCATGCAGCAAATTCACATACACTTGTTAATCAATTCCTGCCAAAATTCAATTTCTAGAACACCTCTGTTTTTTTCATTTAAACAATAATAAAAACAAAAAAAAGGAGAGAGAAAAAAAAAGGATAAATAAACTAAAAAAACTACTTGTAATATTTATCAATGCAAATTACAGTTCAACTATACAAAATTCCAACTTGAACTGTTTGCTTTTGCTGTGGCTGTATATGTACCTCACAAACTTACTTTTCCCAGAAAAAAAGAAAATTAAAGGTTGTTAATTAAGATTAAATCTAAAAATTAAAACTTGAAATTAAAATGATAAAAACATTAAATTCGATGAACTCTATCCCTCAAAATTCCTTGGTATAGAGCAGCTCGATTTGCTGGCATTCGACGAAATTCTGAAATTTTATCACCATTAAAAATCTCAACTTTCTTCTCTTTTTTCTCACTAATCATTTTGGCTAATTCACTCTTATGATCCTTAACATTATCAGCAAATTTAACCCTTTTCTTCTTCTTTTTCTTCTTTTTATCATCTGCAACAAAAAACAGAGCAAAATCAGAATCACATAAAAAATTGAAAAAAAAACAGGGGAAAACAGAGCAAATTAAAATTTGAATTACCAGATGATAAACAAGATCGTAAACAAGAAGGAGGAAGATGGGTTTGAGAATTAGAAGATGAATTTTGATGGGTTGTTGGTAAATTTCTAATTCGATTAAGAGAAAGCAAGATTACAGCTCCTGAAACTGCCATGGCAGTTGTCAAGATTACACTTTGTGAGGTAATAACAGAGGAAGTCATGCTTATTGTTTTGAAGAGAGAGAAAGTAGAGAGAGAAAGAGAAGCGTTAGTTGGTGGTTGCAAATTGTAGGAGAGAGAGAGAGAGAGAGAAAGATAGCGAGGGTTGAGCAAGAAGCAAAGATTTTAAGGAAGAAAGTATGAAGATTTATAGTGAGTGGATGTGGATGGGGTGGATTTTGGGGGGATACGAGTAATTTCATTTAGTTGTGAATGTGGGTCCTTTTTAGTACTAAATTGGAGGTCTAGGTGTTATTTGAATTTTAATTACGTTCTGAATGCTTACTAGCTTTTTGGCCCGTGTAGTACTCGTGTTGCACACACTCCCCTGAGTCCCCTCTGTTTCTAAATGTAGAAACTCAAATATTTGGAATCCATACAATTCCTCCGTTATTTTATTATTGCACCGTAAAGATTTGACACAATATTTTTGGTAGTGGAAAAAAGGATGAGAGAAAAAGGTAGAAGTATGTAGTATAAAGTTGTCCATATGATTGTACACAAAATAAAATGTAAGTGTTGAAAACCAAGGGTATATTAGGTAATTATACTGTGAACACAACTATTTCTTTTCCTAAAATGAAAATGGTGCAATATTTGTGAAATTTCTTTAAAAAGCAAGTGGTGCAATATTAAAAAAAAAAACGGAGGAAGTAAGTGATTTCTAGTAAATCTTTGGTACCATTGTATTAAGTCTGGTATTTTGGATTAGGTAATCAACTATGAGTCAGTTTTACTGTACTTATTTAAATGTGAATAAGGGTTTGTTCTGATTTTCTGAATTGAGTTGAACTTAACTAAATAGACCTGAAATGAATTGTTTATGAGAGAAGGAAACTAAAAGCTGAACTGAATTAAACTGAACTGATTGGAGATGAAGTGAACTGAACTAAAATTAAGCAGAAGAAAACAGGTCCTAAGTGAATCACTTTGATTATTTTCACACTATATAGTATATACTCTCATAGTCTCATAGTTTCCTAGCTATTTTTGTTCCTCTTAAACACTATACCAATTGCTACAAAAAATTTCAAACTTGAAACCATAAAACCATCTAATGGAACGGAAGATATGTAAGACAGACTATCAATATTAAGTCGTCACTTTAATTTTTTAATTTTTAAAAAATGCTTAGTAAAATGGAACATCATGATTTTGTAAAATCCTTCATAAGGGGAAGGGGAAGGAAAGTAGATAAATAATATATCTATATTTTATTTTTTTTCTTAGAAAGAAAAGATACACAAAGGTATAAACTTATCACTGGAATCAATGGGAGGCTGAGGAAAGGATGGGAAGGGAAAGAGAGGGGAGGGTACAAAAGCTAGACCGATAAATTTTCCTTCCAAAACTCTTCATTATCGAAGAGAATAATTTCTTACAATTTATTCTCTTCATTTCTTTTCCCTCTAATTCATTTTCTTCCTACTTTTTTTGTTAATATTTTTTTTATATGCAAATCCTTTCAAATTTGTTATTCAAAATAAAAGATATTTTATCCCTTCATTTTCCTTCTTTTCTTCTATTTAGTTCAATTCAAACAAAATGTAAGTAAATAAAACATAATAGAAGAATAATGAATATATATGCAATTAGTTCACAAGGAATCGACCAAATACACAAAAGGAGATTGGTAATTAAAGTGGGAAAGAATGTATGGAAAGACATTGAACAAATGGTGGGAAAAGAATGAGATAAGAAGGGGAGAGTTATACTACGTATTTATTGTGTTTTCTAGAAGAAGAATAAGCAACATAAGAGGAAAAAAAAAATACTACGTATGTATAAAAAAAAACAGGGGACATGTGGCATGCCCCCTCAATCCCCACCCCACCCCACCCCCCATATCTTACAAACTCCAAATTGGAATAATTATCGAGAGGGTAGGATCGTGGATGGATGCATGAGAAGTGTAAACTAGAAGATAAATAATACAAAACCATACCTATTTTCTTCTATCCCAAAGTTCATTTAGTAGGTAATAATAAATTACGATAATGAAGGAAAAAAAAAAAGACGGTTAAATAAAAATCACTTTCGGAAATTACATATAATTTAATTACAATTTGTAAACAATAGTTAATTATATAATTTAATTGAAATTTTTAATTAAAAATAAAAATTATGCACTTTCGGGAATTGCATATTCATATTTTAGATCCAAAATTGCATATTCATATTTAATTAGAAATTAGTTAGGAAAAATGAGGAAGTTATTTTCTTTTAGTACGTGTTAAAAGTCTACAATTCAATTCTTATTTTAAAACTGTTGATCGCACTGAGTTAATCTAGTAGTACAAGTAAACGGATTGGTTTTTCTTTTATTTTTCTCTTTATTATTATTATTATTATTATTATTTTTTTTTTTTTTTGTTCTTATTATAGACTTTTTTCCCCCTCTAGAAGTTCATATTAAGAAATCAAAGAGGGCTATACATGAATTATGATCTTATTATTATTATTATTATTTTATCAGTTTATCAATATTTAATTTATGATAATATAACCCAAATAGGTCATATAATACATCATATAAAAATGGCTATAGATCACTTCATGTTATACCACGTTACCTATTATGAGGGGTTTAAGACGACCTAAAAATTAACAAATTCTACAAGCAATTAGATGTGCAAAGAACTCTAGCATGGGAATTAAAAGAAAACTATATATTCCACTTTAAAGTCTAAAGTGTTTGATTGAAATACTATATTATCCGTTCATCACTTTAATTTATGTGATTCTAGTTAATCTTATACACTAACAATAACTTTATGCAAAATCTATGTAGCTAAGCATTCCCCACACTAGAATAATCTACATAGAGTATATTCGTTAGCATGTAAAATTATATATATTAACTAAAGGAATAAGATTTCCTAAATTAACATTAAAATACATGGCATAGGACATGAATCACATGATAATATAATCTACAATTACATTGTAATCGTCATGTAATTAGGTACTCTGATATTTTAGTGAGAATTTTATGGATGAGAATTGTCTAATGTTGAATCAAGTTTTAGGGCACTACGTACTTTTTGGACGCTTTTGTTGCGACGCTTTTGATATGGCGTCAGTACCGCCTTTTTTCGACGCTTTATAGAATCGAAAATTGTATCGACACATAAAAGCATCGGGAAACTCACATGCTATGCATGTGAGTTATTTTTTTCGCAATTTTGAAACTTTTAATGAAAATATTAGCGGGTTGCAATTTTCCCCAAATTTCCCAATTAAACCGCCCACGACTATATTCTGCTCAATTGCGCTGCTCATCTCCTCTAAACCCACGACTCCTTCATCAGCGACAAATTTTCGCAATTTTGCTTGCTAATCTTCAAGGAATTTGGGGGTTTTTTGCTCGTCACTTTCAATAATTTCAGGTGTCAACTTACAATTTGCTATACAATATTGTTGCTAGGTATATATCTATCATTTTTGGTACCCTAATATCTCACAATTCTCTAAATTTCATTAATATTGGGAATTCTTTGCATGTCTTCGATTTTGAGTTAGGGTAGAACAAGAATCGATCTCTTATTGCGAGGTAATTTTTTGCCCTTAATTAGATAGTTTCATTTCTTTTTATGTTGTTTTTTTCGTGAATTCTGATTTCATATCCATGGTTTCCATTTTTTTTTTATTTTTGTGAGTAGTATTTTTGGTTTTTGTTATGATTTTTATGTCGTTTTTTAGGGTTTTAGTTTGGAATTTTATGGGTTTTTAATATGAATTTTATAGGCTTTGAATTTTATGGTTTTTGATATGAAATTTATAGGCTTTGATTTTTCTGGTCAGAGCTAAATAAATTAGCCATTACACATTAAAGTTGCAGTGCATTAATAGAACAATATGAACTTGGGAATATTATTGGCAGCATAATTTGTTTTTTCACCCAAAAAATTAGATCAGGTTCTTTAAAAAAGCAAGTCCACTTCATCTCGACACTTAAAAGAGCTCAAGGTGTGAAAATTCATGGCATAGCTAAAGAAGATCGAAGCCAATTTGTGAATTTCTCTGTATATAGTCTGCTCACCAAAAAAAATAAAATAAATTTTTTTTTTTTTAAAAAATTGTTATCATCTCTAGATTGCAGCATTTTATTGTGATTGTAAAGTTTATCTCTCAAATCTTAATCTACATGTATCCATTTATCTTAGACCTTCTGATCTTGTTGTTTTAGTTTTCCAGATTGGTGATAGTTTTGATTCTTTATTCAATTGCTCAAATGCTCACTAGACTGCTAGAATTACAGATTGGACAGAGGTGATAATTCCAAATCTTGTTGTTTCTTTTTATCCACCCAAGCAAAATCTTATGTTAAAGCTTTCTAACACTACCTTTTCTGTTTTCATCCTTGTTCAGTAGCTTGAAACGCACAATTACTTTTGCGGCAAAAGAAGGTACACTCTACCTTAGACAATAGCTCAAACTAGAATATATTTTTAAAGATTGTGGCTTGATTAGTACGTGTATGTCATATACTTATTTCAATTGTGTAGGCTTTATTAGATTTCCCTAATTAGATGTTTCATGTGACACTATCTTTTAATTACTTGAAAAACGTGTGCCTATTGCCTTGGAGTCATGTTTTGTAGATTTCCAGTGTGGTTTGTTGAATGAGAAATTCATCGAACTTGCATGACTTATTTTTTTTGTTGTATGTTTCTTACTAATTTTCTTCTTTCACCCCTCAACAAGTTTGTAGGCAATTACTTACATTATTTTTAAGTGGATAAACTTCTTGATATTATAACTTTGATGGATGTCTATTTACTTAGTGAAAGTGATGTCCCTATTATATATTGGTTTAAGGATCCTTGTAACATGATTTTTTTTTTATTTTTTTTTTAATGTCATTGTTTTTAATTAGCAAATAATTATATACTTCTTTGTAGACATGGATACTAGTTGGATTGATTTACCAAGAGGTGACCCCGGTTATTTTAAAGGTTGCATGAACTTCTTGAAACTTGCTAAAGAGACTCTTTTAACAAATACACGTGAAACTAAATGCCCATGTAATATGTGCAAGTTAAATAAAACGAATTCTGTAGAAGAAGTTGGAGGCCATATTTTATTTTATGGTTTTTATAAAAACTATAGAAATTGGATATTTCATTGTAAAGATGAAGGGAGTAAGACCTATGATCTAAGTGATGATCAAGTAAATGCAGTAGGTCGAGATGATATGGACGGGTTACTAAGAGCAACTTTTAGAGTTAATACGCGACAAACCGACAAAACTCAAGATCCATCATTTAATGAACAAAGTATTGAAGATGACAATTCATATGACATGGATGAGGGGTTTACGATTTATCGCGAGGTAGATGATGAGTATCAATCAACTTTCTCAAATGAAGAACAAGAAAAGTATAAAAATCTCATGGAAGCTTCTGAAAAAGGCCTGTACGAGGGGTGTACTACTTTTTCGAAACTTTTATTTCTATTGCATTTGTTTCACCTAAAGTGTATGTTCCATTGGTATGCAGAGTCATTTAATAAATTACTTGAACTTCTAATTGACGCATTTCCCAATATTAAGGAGTTTCCATCGTCCTATTATGAAGGCATGAAGATAATAAATGATTTAGGGTTAGGATATGAGAAAATACATGCATGTCCAAATGACTGCATGTTATATATATTGGGGCGAATTCGCAAATAAAAGTGAGTGTCATATATGCCACACATCAAGGTGGAAAAATGTGAAGGGAATTGAGGGTGATGTAAATGAAAAAGGAAAAGAAGCATGTAATAAAGGCGAGGCAGCTAAAGTAATGTGGTACTTTCCCCTTATCCCTAGATTAAAGAGGCTTTACATGTCATCTAAAACCGCAGAGGACATGAGATGGCACTTTAATCGTAAGGATGATAAGATTCTACGACACCTTGCTGATGGCGAGGCCTGGAAAAAATTTGATGAAAAATATACAGAGTTTGCCGCTGATCCTCGCAGTGTTAGATTAGGCCTAGCGAGTGATGGTTTTAATCCATATCGTCTTATGAACACAAATTATAGTACATGGCCGGTGGTACTCATTCCTTATAATTTACCACCATGGCTTTGCATGAAACCATCATCCTTTATTCTTTCTATAATTATTCCTGGTAAATTTGGTCCCGGTATGGATATTGATGTGTACTTGCAACCATTAATCCATGAATTGAAATTATTGTGGGAAGGTGTTGATGCTTTTGATTCTTATAGTGGAAGCAACTTCAAACTGCGAGCAGCCCTACACTCTACTATTAATGACTTTCCGGCTTATGCTATGCTGTCAGGTTGGAGTACGAAAGGCTACAAAGCTTGTCCTTCTTGCACTCATTCTACTAATTCAGATAGATTTGGTGGCAAAATTATCTACCCTGGGTATCGAAAATAGTTGCCTATTGATCACCCATATCGTTCACAAGCTAATTTGTTTGATGGGAAAGAAGAATATGGTATTGCTCCGATTCGTACCACCGGGACCAAAGTTTTGAAGCAACAAGAAGGGGTAAAGTATGTATATGGGAAGACAAAAAAAGTTCCTAAAAAAAGAGGGAGAAAAGCTGCCAATGAACTTGATGATGATTGCGATCCCGATGGTGATGATGTTTGTTGATCTTAAGTTTTGATGATGACTCAAGGAACCTAAGCAAACCCATAAGGGCTTTAACTTTTGTCTATTAGCTTTGATGTACTTGACAGGTTCTTATATGCAACGAAGTTCTAGAGTCAGAACGGAGCATGGAACAAGGTCTAAGGATGAGCTGTGGATGAGCATAGAGGACAATCAGAAGCCAAGTTCCTTGAGTGAGGAACTGAAGCTTCAGAGTCGAAGCTTCACTATGTTCCAAGGAGTCTATTGTATCTTTATTATTTATTTTAGGCTTCTTGTATATATGTTAAGTACATTGTTAATTGATAGGATTTAAGTGGATTTAATTTCAGTTTATAAAGATTTTATTTTCCCTTCTTTAACAAGATTTAATTTTATTTCGGAAAATTATCTTTTAAGTAAAAATATCTTATTTATTAAAAGATTTTCTGTTATGATTTTATCCTAACATTTTGGAAAATCTGACTTGGTAAAACTATTTTTAAAACGGCTTTTACTTGGTAAAGGAGGTTGAGAAAATAAAGGAACCACTTCCTTATTGTGTGCTTCAGCTTGCTGCCCAAGCATCCACGAATTGCACTTCCTTATTTCATGGAAGTTGTGGTGTAGTGGGAGTTAAGGCAAACGTAAGGTTTTCAACTGCTTTCCTCATGTATAAATAGGATTAGTTTTCTGTTTTGAAAAACACACTTGAGCATTACGATTCTTAGCTTTTCTAAAAGAGTCAAAAATCCACTTAAGTCCTTGAGTGTCTTTGTAATTAGCATCTTAGAAGTTTTATCTTGAGTTGTATTGGGGTAGAGTTTGGGTAAACTCTAGAGTGTGTAATTGCTTTGAGTAAAGCAAGGAGAAAGAGAGAGATTCGAGAGCTCAACTGATTGAGGGATCAGTTGAGGGGGAACTTAAGTTCGTAGAGGAACTTGAGTTAAGAAGTCTTAATTTGTAATAGGTTGTTTGCCCTATTATTATTAAGAGTTGTGATTAAAATCCCTTGTGGTCGTGGTTTTTCTTCTTGATTAGGGCCAAGAAGTTTTCCATGTAAAATCTCTCTTGCACTTTAAAGTTTTTGTTTAATTTTCTTTAAGAATTCCGAAAAAATTACCCTAGTTCCTCAACAATACAATTCACCCCCCTCTTGTATTGTTCATTCGAGTCAACAATTGGTATCAGAGCTTTCCTCGAAGAAATCAGGAAACCCTGTCGAGTTAAGTTCCCGGAATCAAGATGAACAATCACGAGAAACTGGAAGAAGGTTACTCTACGCAGCGTCCTCCTATGTTCAATGGAAAATTCTACACCTATTGGAAGAACAGGATGGAGATTTTTATCAAAGCCGACAACTACCAGGTTTGGAGAGTGATCGAAGTTAGTGATTTCAAAATTACCAAAACTACTGGTGAAAATGAGGTAGTACCTAAACCCATGTCTGAATTTGATAAGGAAGATTTTGAAAAAATGAAAATTAATGCACTTGCTGTTAAATTACTTCATTGTGGACTTGGACCCAATGAACACAACCGTGTTATGGGTTGTAAAAATGCTAAAGAAATTTGGGATTTACTTCAAGTCACTCATGAAGGAACTAACGAAGTGAAACGCTCTAAGATTGACTTGCTTATGTCAAAATATGAACGGTTTGAAATGCAACCAAAAGAATCAATTCAGGAAATGTTAACTAGATTTACTAACATTACTAATGAGCTTGTTTCCCTTGGAAAGAAAATCCCTATTGATGAGCAATTCAGAAAAGTTCTAAGAAGCCTCCCCCAAGATGAGAGATGGAGATCCAAGGTAACAGCCTTACAAGAAACAAAGGACTTCACAAAGTTCAATATTGAGCAACTTGTTGGTTCCCTCATAACTCATGAGTTGCACCTAGGAACAAGCAATAGTGAAGGAAACCGAGGAAAAGGCTTGGCTCTCTGGAGATCAAAGACTCTGAAGTCGATGAAGAAGAGGCTGCTATGCTGGTGAGAAGGTTCAAAAGAATGTTCAACCGAAACAACAAGTCAAGGAACTTCACCAAGAAACCCTCTACTTCAAAAGCTGACTTTGGTTGTCACAAATGTGGATCTCTAGAACACTTTATTCGTGAGTGTCCACTTTGGGATACAGAGAAAGGTAAAGGGAAGGCAAAGGAACAAGTTAAGAGCAACTACAACAAAACTCCTTTCAATAAAACAGACATTAGGAAGGCTATGATTGTTGCCTGGGGAGATTCTGAAAGTGAGGATGAAGAGAACAACCTGAAGAAGAAACAGCTCATCTATGTCTGATGGGCAAACGTGATGAAAAGGCTTACAAAGATGAGCTTGCTAAAGAGGTATTCCTTGATCCTAATGTGCTTAAAACTTATACTAAAGATGCTCTCATTGATTTAGTGTTTGAATTGGAAGATGACTGGACTCACACTAGTATTCGTCTAGGTGAATGTCAAAGAGCTCTCAAAGTCTGTAAGGAACACAGTACGTGGATTGAGAATCAACGAACTGATGTTCAAAGTAGATTTTTTGAACTTTTTGACAAAAATCTTCTCTTAAAAGAAATGAATGAGAAACTCAAGTTTGAGAATATCATGGTTAATGTAGAACTAACTCAATACAAACTTGCTAATGCTGAAGTGTCTCCAAGTTCCTCCTCTGAATCTTTGCCTAAATTTAATGAGGATTTTGAAAAACTAAAATATGATCTTGACGAGTTAAGAATTGAAAAGGCAAAATTGGAGAAGGAACTTGAGCTTCGAAAAGAAAGAAGCATTAGCCAGTTTGAAATTCCTAAGTGGATAGAGAATGCTC